CTTTATTTTCAGTCTCTTGCGTTTGAATTTTAATAAATAAAACTAATAACCGTTTTTGTAGATTGCGAATTTTTATTTTCTACTTTCAATACTAATTTATTTAGTTATGATCATTAACATTKAACTCGATAAAATGTATTAAGCTAATAGAATTCAATAGAGTAAATCGACTTCAAATTTAAAAATCTAGTCACGTAAATACAATTAGCATAAACCACCAATAAATTAATAAAACTCGGTGGATTTTTAGCAAGTAATACACTATCCAATATTTTATTCATTTAACGTAGGCACATTTACTTAATCAAAAATATAATATAAAGACGTTTGAAATTAAGTTTAAAAAAAGCACCGATAATTTATTATTTTAATCTAAGATGAATACATATATATTTTTATATATTATTAATTTATTATGTTATAGTTTTTGCATAGTAGTAGATTTAAATTCCATCAATAGAAGCTCACACACAATGGACGTTAAACACAATATTTCAATATACTTGTTAAAACAGAAGTTTATTTTTAATTTACTTTACAGGATATGATTTTTCGAACAAACTGGTCGTACCATAAACTTGATTTAATGCGACTAAATGCACGCGCCCGTAATACAGATGACGGAAAATCACACAAGAGCGCTTAACCCATTGGAGAGTAACTTGTCACAGCCATACGCGGTGAATCACATGATTCATGGTCCGTGACCTAACCCATTGACCTAACTTTAGTTACGTTAAAACGACTTAGTGCAAACCGCATGATATGGAATTATTATTATCCTCAAACTACTGAAAAAACCAAATCGTAAAGCTAGTACAGTAATTTTTGGATTTTTAATGTTAGGTATTGTGGTTGGAAGATTGTATATCAACCTATTTTTAGTCGAATTTAACAATATACTCTACGGTTATAGAAATACCATATTGTGTACGTTATGAGTTTTCAATCTATAAGCTAACCAAAATTAAAAATGACTGTAAATATTATCTTTAACATTATTGTAAACATATAAATCGCAAATTGTAATTAAAATATCTTGTAAATGACTTTAACTTCGAATCTTAYTTTAACGAAGCTTGCGTTGAACGAATCTAATCACTAATTCCTAATAATTCAAAGTTTATAGTTATAAACCAATTGTTATCTATTACAACATCATATGTGAATTTATATAAAGTGAGACTTAACAATAAAAATAAAAATATTAACTTTATTCATTACTGAGACTAAAGTTCTGTGTGAAGTTTTTCTGATAATATTTCATTATAATTCCCAAATACCAAAGTGCCCCAAGGGTCAAGAGGGTGAAAAGCTATATCAATAAAATGCCAACTTTTGGAGGAAACAAAGACCCAAATTTTGTATTTAGATCAAAATGATTACATAATTTAGATCGACTAAACCTTATTTAAACAATAAAAAATTTAATTAAAATCAATATTCAACCTTATCGTTAAATGTATTTCACTATTTAATTGTGTTTATACGCTTCACAGAACTCTACATTTAATATTATGTGGCACTTTTTTATCTTCTTATTTCTTTCTCTCTTAGTTTACAATAACTTTCCTCTCATTTTCTATTTGCTGAGAAAATTATTTC